GAAAGAAAGAAAGAAAGAAAGAAAGAAAGAAAGAAAGAAAGAAAGAACGAACGAACTTAGTGGTCTGTCTATATGTTCTCTGTCAGCATGCACCCATACACAAAGGGAAAAAAAATTACAATACAACCAACATATTAAAATGTGTGTGATCTTGGCACACGTGAAAGTAACAGACTAATAGCACCAGTTATACCAGCAATAGGACAGAAAGCACTATGCAAAAGATACCTTTTTCTAAGCACCTCAGTCTTAATCCTTCAGTTTTAGGCTTCAGGGGTAGAAGCCTGGCACAACTGATGTTAATGGGAGCTTTGCTATTGACTGCGATGGTTCCAGGATTTCACCCCAGCTTTTTTATTTTTAAACAGTAAACTCGACCAAATTACAGTTTTGTGTGTGTGCATGTGCACACAAAGAATCAACACCAGACTGAGCTCCTATAAACTCACTTTCACCCATTACCCAAGTCAAGGCCAACACTCAGGTCTTCAGAGGTGAGGAGTTAGTGCACTAAGCAACTGTGCCACCTAATCTCCACTACAGGCCAACTCTTACCAATATCTGGAAACTGGACAAATTGCTTCTGTCTATCTGTAATTTTCTGTTTGTACTTTTTTCTAGTGGTTTATCTTAGTTCTTTAAAATTCAATCAGGAGAGAAGAACAACAAAGCTATTGGCACATTATCGAAATTTACAGAAACTAGTATCTGTGGTTAAAGTTTCCATTAAGAATCCATTCTGGTTAATGTTTCCAAGTGATCTATTCAAACAGCATGAAATGAGCCTTACCGTGCACTCACTGTTGCACACATCAATACATCGTTCAGCATGAAGAGTCGTCGTTCTTTGGTTTTGACAATTTCTCCTTTCTCGTTGTAAACTGTTTCTATCATATCATCAGTCCGTATTAGGTATCGGTTTCCACTGCTGAGTAACTGGAGTTTTAAAACGATCAACATATTAATGTATACACATGACATAGCCAACATCCACTGCAAAAACAGAGGCAAATATAATGGGATACCCTATTCTATACTGTATTAAAAGTGTTTATAGGTGGATTTAAGGACCCCTCTGGCATAAAATAGGAATTGGGCCCATAGACTTCTACAATTCCTTTCTCTCTACTCCCTTCCAGTCAATTCACATATGCTCTGAGGTGTCAACTACTCCAAAGGGGCAAGAAGGAGCAGGAGGAGGCAGAGTCATGGCTACTCCCTCTGCATGCACTGGTCTACAGAGCTGACTGGCAGTTGAGAAAACCACATAAGGCAGTATACAGGCTCCCACTGCATGCCACAAAGCTGCCACATCTGATAGCACAATGTCACCTGGAACTCCAATTGGGAACACTGCCCCGCTCTCCCCTGTCCCCAAAGCACGAGCCAGTGCCTATTAGATAAAATTTATCTCTGTTTTACTCCTTTAACTACATGTCAATGATCATCATGTTGCTGTTTAGACAAGCTACCATGCAGTGTACAGGATATATAATTAGGAGGAAAGGTTAAAAGACCTAGGTCAATCCTCTACCTCCAGAGCATCTGGGAACTGAAACCAGTGTTCCAGATGCAGCCCTGCCAATGCTGTCAGTACAGTACACAATTTTTAACCTTTTGGCTACACAGGTAAATAAAGCACATCCAGGCTTATCCCAATACTCTGATAAATTCACCACTTTTTTTCTTTTGAAATATTGATCTTAATGATGCAAAAGGCCTAGAAATGCCTATTCTTTGGTTGACTACTTCCCCTCCAGAAAACCGAGAGGACTTTCTACACCACTTGAGAAAAATATGAGGTGCAGTCAGCACTTTTTTCTCAGAATAGGTCTAGGCGCTCACCATCCTATATAGATGTATTAAAGAGAATAAATCATAGATGAGCAGTAATTCAGGTATGTGATGCCTCATCTCCCAGAAAGAACAGAGGCATTTATGCTGCACAGTAAGACAAGAAGGTTGTTCCTGTCTCAATTCCTTTTAAATGTATCTCACCATTCTCGTGAGGATATTTCTATTTTACTATCCAAATAATTGAATAATACAGGCAAAACAAGAAACTATTAGATACATCAGTCAGCGCATCTGGGATTGCTTTGTTGGGTTGAAATATTAAAGGGAAAAAATGGACCATAAAATACTTTACACTGCCTATAGGGCTAAATCCTGGATCCTGCCATGAAGACAAATTAGGATGTCCTTGTGCAGAGGATCTATGTGAAGGTATGAGGTGGGATAAGGAGTTAGCATTCTCCCTTTACCAGATCATGGAACACCATTGGGCTGCTAGTACCTCTGCTAGGCTGCAGCACTGGACACAACCCTGCACCCACAGCACTTTGTGGTTTTGGACAGTAGACCTATATTATCATAGAGGTGCCTTACATTTTCCAGCCATTCTATCCCCCAAATCCGCCTATGCTTTAAATAGAACCATCACACAAAGGGGTGCAGATTAGGTAGCCACTCCACTAGCTGCTCAGGAGAAGGTAATAAGAAATTAGCAATGTATGAGCTTCCACAGTATAAATTATATTCTGTCCCAACCTTGTTCAGATAACGTTCATTCATGGCTTTTGCGATCTGCTTTATTTCACAGCGCTGATCTGCATCTCTTTTCCTTTCATTTAATTTCTCTGCCAATGTTTCGAGCTCTGTAAGAGCCATCTGCAGTGGCAGCCTGTCAGGATGTCCTTTAGTAGTATTTTTCAACATATCCTAAAAAAAGGAGTACAGATATGATTTCTGAGGCATAAGTTAAAGATGGGACATAGTGTTGTAAACTTCTGTCTAAAGTTATTGCATTGCTCTGAAACTGAAGACTACTCAAGGATAACCCCAATGCTATTAATGACTTCTGATGCAAATAATAGAGCACTTTGGAATCATCAGCACATTGGATCCTTGGTTGGCTGAATATTCTAATTGCTCTTCAAAGAGATGTTGGCCTGTGAAGCTTATTTTCCAGTAAGTAGGTAAGGAGATGGGATTCCAAATTGAAGAAAAATATGAAAGATACAAATGACATTAAAGAAACAGTCTGAAAATCAACATGCATTATAATACGTAGATACCTGTATCCAATACGCCTGAAAAACTTTCCCAACCTTTAATTTAATGTAAAGTCATACTGAAACTCTTTCTCATCATTATCATTATTATTATTTACTAAATGAGAACAATGAGCTTAATGCTGTATGAAATACAGTGGAAGAAAGTGCCTGCTCCATGGATCTTGAAATAATTTCCAAACATTTCCATATTTGAGGCAGACACTGAAACCATTTGGACAGCATGTTTCCCTTTCCCGACAATTCTCAGACATTCCTATGTACCCACTATTATTTCTTATCAGATTGCCCCATCTCCTCCGCTGCATCAATGATGCTAGCCTGTCTGCCCACTTGTGAACTCCTTCCCTCAACCATCTCTAGTCTTCATTCCACACTTACACATGGCCTACCATCCTCAAACCAGTCTTCCTCCATGACACCTAGAAGAAATTAATCAACTGATCCTGGCTAGTGGGATGGAATTGGAACTGCTCTGTAATAATTTAATAATACGATATGTTGAGTCAGTTATTGGGATGTCCATTGTACAAATATATTAGTTAAGATTACTAGGGGGCTATAAGGAAAACAAACAGGAAGAAAATGGAAAGGTTCAAGATAAACCACTTCCCCGCAAACACTTGAGGCTTCTTAAGAGACAGTGCCAGGATAGGAAAAGGCCTGGGAGCCAAAAGATTAAAAGAACTATAGCAGTTTAAGAAGGAATATTTTCTCAAAGAGGGTGGAGATGTTCAGGGGATACAAGCAGGGATAGAGGCAACTGCTGGGGGTGTGAAGAAGTTATGCCTGTGTAGGGTTCCATCAGAGGATGGTAAGCCTTTGGGTGAAATAGACATGCACGTAGACTGTTATTTTAAAATCCTTTTTGTCTAAATGCTTTGTTCCTACAGCAAAATAAACCATTTTTTGTTTTAAAAAGGATGTCTGATCACTGTACAGACATCCTAAAGACTCCTAAAGAGAAGAACCACTAGTGTCCAAACTCCGCACAGAACAATTGGCCCTTACCTGAATGTAGTGTATTTCTCCCTTTAAAACGACAACAGCTGTACACAAATACATGGCACAACTGTTTTTGAATCAGGGATACCTAAAGAAATATTTATTGACGTGCAAAGGTAAAGTACCAAGCTCTAGTAACTTTTTCCCACAGTAGATCCTGGCACTCAAACTAAAAGATTACTAGAGCTGGATGAAAATTTTCAGACAAAGCTTTTTATTTATTTTTTTTTGCCAAAAAATAAAGATTTGGATTGGCCCAAACAGTTGGTGAGTGTGTGCAATTTTGCCAAATTGTTTTGGCCGAAGAAAAAACAAAAACAAAAGATTCCAAAAAAGCTAAAAAGTTTCATTCTGACATTTTCAAAACAAAACATTTTGATTTGAAATGACATTTCGTTTTTATTTTTAATCTCAATTTTATCTTAACAATTTCAGAAGGTAAAAAAAAAACCTCTCAAAAAACAAACTGAAATGTTTCATTTTGGGTTGAAGATGATGTTTTATTTGACCCAAGGTAATTTTTTTTTTTTTAACTTTTTTGGCTCGCTGAAAAATTTAACAAAAAAATAGTTTTGAGCTGATGTGAAACAAACAAAAACTCAGTGAACCTCACAGCTCTCGTTACTACATACTTAATTTTTCACTTGTTTGATCCCAAGACTCAAAAACGGCTCCCATTTCAATATATTGCTACAGTATAACATAGATCCCACAGAATCCCCCAAGAGGGTGAGTACTAAGAGAATACAAAAGAAGCATTTATCAGCTAAGCCTCACTGGTAAGTATTGTTTACCTGAAGCAGAAGAATGAACTGTGGAAAGCGTTGTATGGGTTTCATCATTAAACCATAGAGTGTAATTCGATCAGGGCTCGACTCCTGGCATTGCTGAAATGAGAAAGTCACTGCATTTGCTCATGTTAGTAGAGTTTTATTATTGTCTTTCAGAAAATTAAAATATTTGCCAGGATTTCTTTATATCAATAACTTTCTTTGTACCAGGAATAGAACTAAGATTTCACAAATTCATTTAGAAATATTAGTTAGGTCTCTGTGAAAAATCTTACCATTTAATTTGTCATAATGGTGAAAAGAAAGAAAACTTCCTCCTTAAAAACAAGGGAAGAGACAAATCCCAACAGTACAAAAGTAGCTGAAATGGGAAACTAAATTCTGTGTGAACTGAGCACATTTCTACTTGTCTAGACAATGGATTTAAGCATGAGCTTAACTTTAAGCATGCAAGTGTTCCCATTGACTTGTTCCACGTCTTAAATTTAACCATAAAAGTAACTGCTTTGTTGGATCGTGGCCTTATTTTCTATTATGGCTGTTCTCTGTCATGGGATCTGGGGTAAAACCCTACCAGCTGATGCAGTACTATCTATATTTATTCATCCGTTTTGGTATTTTAAAAAAAGAACGTCTAGGGAAAACTCTCAATCTCAAAGCTATGTAAACACAAAGCGAAGTCCATAGTTATCTTTATACAACATCAAAGGACACCCAGGGAAAGGAGGAAAAAACAGATTTGTCATTTTGTTAGTTCTCTGCATGCTCAGGAGGAGAACTTTGGAATCTTCTAGGGAGGTTCTTATTACAGCTGGTTGACAAACAGGAGTAAAATTTCATGATTTTTAAAGATTTTTCTCATTTTTTTCAAAATGCTGAAATATTTTGAACAGTGTGTATTTGGTCCAAAACCAGGGCGGGGTGGAGTGGGGAAGAATCATAAGAATGGCCATACTGGGTCAGTATGGTCCAATGGTCCATCTAGCCCAGTATCCTGTCTTCAGATAGCGGCCAATGCCAGGTGCCCCAGAGGGAATGAACAGAACAGGTAATCATCAAGTGATCCACCCCCTGTTGCCCATTCCCAGCTTCTGGAAAGTATTATATCAACATTTAAAAATGCAAATAATGTTGCACAGCTCAAAATGCAAATAATGGTGCCCATCATTACAATACTGACCTGCAACCACTCATGTGCCCCCTAGCTTTGGCCCTCTAAAATCTTCACTTTTGCCTGACCAGAATTGAAGATTATCGTCCCAAGTCTGCAGTCCTCACTCAGGCAAACATGCCACTGAAGTGACTGAGGAGATTGAGAGCTACTAGCTCTGTGTATTTTTTACCATGCCCAGAAAGGTTCAGAGTGAGTTTTAATTTAAGACTCTTATATATAATGTAGCTAACGCATAAACTTTGTCGAAAGATGAGGCCTCAGCTTGTGACTTAGTTAATGTTTATCTGACGTGAAAGAATCCCAACAGTCATTCTGAATGTCAAGAAAACTGAGGTGCATGGCAAAATACCCCTTGGAGCTAAAATCATGTCATCCTCCTGCTACACTAGAATTGTGGGTGAAATTTGTTCTCTTTAAATTTACACACCATGGGGCCAAATTTTTTCCCTAACTCATCTTGTGCTACATCATTTTCTTCAGCTTTCTTTCAAGCTTAAATGAACTCACCTTTAAAAAATCTAGAAAGGCAGGCTTCGTGGCACATGTTTTCTTGAGAATCCCCACTGCTGTACTGAAGTTATTTACATACTCACTGTATGCATCTAGAACCATGGATTTAGAAAACTGAAATGCAGACAAGACAAAACCTCAGTCATCAACAGGAAATCCAGCTGAAGACAGGCTCATTTTTATTTTTGACGTCTAAATGCCTGGTGCTGTGAGGAGCTGAATGCTCCGCATAGGAGTTGCTAAATACCTTCAACTTCTATTGAGCCCATAGTTGGAACTAACCAGTTAACTCCTGATAAGCTACAACATGCAAATGTATCAAATGCAGAGTTAAAGTTGTAAGTTTGCAAAATTTATGAATTGTAAAACGTATGGTTCTAGTAGCCACTTCAGCTCAGCCACATTAAATATATGGGACCAGATTCTGGCAATACAAAGAGGAGGGACAGCTGCCCAGAAAAGCTTCCTCTGATGTACGTGGATGCTTTAGAGCACTATGCATTGCTGCATTTACCCCTCCTATGCAAAGGAGGGGATGTCTAGGGGAAGTGGAAGCAAGAGGAGTGGCGCTAACATGCGCTGAACTCCAATTGGTGGAGTGGTCTCTAAGACCACTACGTTAATCCAGAGGTTGGTTCAGTCCCTTGTTGGGCTGAGGATTGGGGTAGCTACTTTCCTGCATATCCACGCCCATCCTTTGCGGATTTAGGTGGCTAACATGAGGCACACACATTTGAAAATATTGGCCAAAGCTCTTTCACTTGCAGCCAATCAAACAGAAGACGTGTGTTGGTGTCAATGTAGTTGTCCTAATAGGTACATGTGCTATTACAGCAGACACCAGATCAACAATTTAAAAACAAAATAGACATTTTTCATGCCTCTTCTCACATGTATTTACTTACTGAAGCAACAAAGACATCTCCAATCATTTCAACAGAATCCCATTCAGAGACACGGCTGGCCAGTGCTATCTGAAACATTGAATGGCACTGAAGAATCTCCTTAATACGATAAAAGACCATTTTGAGTTTTCTTTCACTCAGTAGCTTTGGTTCCATTTCTGAGAGAGGCTTCTCATATTGCTGAATAAAGAAAACAGATTCATTCAAACAATCTGAAAAAAAATTAGAGTTTAACATCAAAAAGTAAAACCTAGGCCAAATCCTGCCTTATAGTCAAAAGAAAACACATTTGATCTGATGCCCCCCTAACATTATGCATATGATTCATAGTACAGTTCATGAATAATTCTTTGAGGATTTCATTCCTTTCCAAACAGTAAAAAGCAAACAATATTTAGATACCTCCAGAATTCTTTTGAGAGCATCCACATAATTCTTCTCACTGTCAACCACAGAGCCCAGAATATATCTTCTCACAACCTGTTCAAAGTGATACAAGTTAAACTCTCAAACTTGAAGTAGTTGATACTTCCTTCATTTCTGGGACTTGTTGAAAATAATGATTATTACTGACAGAGATGTACAGACACTGTGGAGTTTGTTTACTAAATTCTTCTTTTTTGTTTACTAGTCTGAAATAACTAACTTACAGGGGGGAAAAAACAGTTGGTCCAGTTGTCCCTATTTCTAAAATAGAAACAGAGTTAAGAGTATTAGGCAAAATCACAGACTCATATTAAACGTTAACCATAAAGTTCTTACATTGACAAATCAACCCTTGTATTATATGTCAAGCTATAGTATTCCTGACATTGGAACTATAATAAAATAAATGTCATATCTCTTCAGAAATTCATGAAACTTATTATTACTCTAATTATGTTTTAAATTGTGCATGAAATACTATAAATAGCAGTAGTCATATGTGTTTTCTTTTCTGCCTGTCTCATTTTAAAGGTTCACTTTTAAAATATGGCCTCTTATTTCCCACCCATAATTTTTGGGGTACAATTAGCTGTGGGCACAGATGGTGATAGAACCTTAGCTATTTGATATACAGATGCAACATAGTTGGCAGTTTTCAAAATCAGGCTTCAAGTGTTATGTTTTTGTTGTTTTACATCTTCATAACATATTAACACTGATTTGGAGGAAAATAAATCCAATGACAGACTTCTGAAGATAAGGACTTATAAACAATAACAGTGAAAAAGTATTGGTGCAGGGTCAATGCTTTGTTCCCATTACCTTGACTGTGTGACTTTACATGAGGAAAAACATTCTTGTTTATTCTCATACAGCGTAACAGGATTGTAATAGGTCCCATGATATATATATAGATAGATAGATATTAATACTTAGTCCTGCCATGAATGCAGGGGACTGGACTAGATGACCTCTCGAGATCCCTTCCAGTCCTATGATTCTATGACTAATTTCCATTGAATTTTTCTCCAAAACATGTTGGGTTTTGTGATTTTACCTCTATAATAATTTTCTGACATATATCAGACCCAGCGGTACATAAAATATAATGCACAATATCAGTGCTTACATATCATTGTGACAGACATCTTATTAATGCCTAACACAGATAGATATCCAGGAGACACTAACAAAGGGTCTGTTATATACTTGGTGTAATATTATAAGTCTGCTACACCCATATTTTTGCTGGTATGGATGGGTGGGAAAAATAATAAATTATGTCCCAGCATTTTTTATTCCTAAACATATAAAACTTGTAACAGAGATTATGATTGCAGAACTAAAATGATTGATTCAATGATCCAACATTTCCAGGCTCACAGTATGACACAGTATATAAAGAGGAATTCAAACAGGACCTGGATTTAAACAAAAACTGTTATGCCACCTTGTGGTTGACAGCAGTATATTCATAAACAAAAGTCTAAAACAGTGATTCTCAAACTTTTGTACTGGTGACCCCTTTCACATAGCAAGCCTCTGAGTGCGACCCTTATAAATTAAAAACACTTTTTAATATATTTAACACCATTATAAATGCTGGAGGCAAAGCGGGATTTGGTGTCAAGGCTGACAGCTCATGACCCCCCATATCATAACCTCACTACCCCTGGAGGGGTCCCGACCCCCAGTTTGAGAACCCCTGGTCTAAAAGACCAAATTGTACACTATATACTTACTGTATTGCCAAGTGCACACACAATACTTTATTTTTCATTCAAAAAGAAACACCATGATACCAATGTGCATGTGTGTGGGAAGCATATGGATTTTTATGCTCAATACACAAATAATTTAATATTCTTATCCATAGCCATTAAAAAACAACAAACAACACCAGTCCTAGCTCCCTATCACTAAAAGACGCTTCTAGTGTTTTTCCCAAAATATTTATCTTTTTGATTAAGAGACTATTCACTCCTTTGAGGACAATATGTCCTCTCGTCATTTCAGGTTTGCACAGACTGGGACCTAAAGTTCATTCATCATGTCATTGTTGGATCACACTTTCTTCCAATACTCGTACTAACCATAATCTCCAGGCACCAACACTTTTCTCATCTTCTCGTCAAAAAGGGGAGAATGTCAGAAAGAGAATGGCTTCCTTTATATTGGATGTCAGTACTGCCCTATACATTGTCCACCAGTGTGCAGTCCCTAGAATAGTGGGAGTTTTAATTCTCCTCTCCTCACAGAGGGGGCCCAGTGGATTCCCTGCTTGTCAGTTTCTCATCACTTCATGTATCATATAGTTGTCTGCTTCTATCTGTCTGCTTCCATGTTCTTCAAGCCATTCACCAAATTTTCTCTGTCAGCTCAGTCTGCATCCCAGTATGAATTTCCTTTGCCAGATTCAACCTGAGCTCTGCACCTTGAACTAACAAAAGGCTGGTCTTCAGCAATAAGTTGTGCACTACCTGGGGACAAACTGGGGGGGTCTCTCGAGCACTGAACCCAGATCCCAAGTACATAGGGATTGTCTTTGACACCTTCCCACTATATAGCAGAAACCCTCCTTTAGCTGCCGCAGGTAAGAAAGGTGAACAAATGTTATACTGTCATCCAATTACATCAAATATACTTAATCGATAATACTTAGTATTACATGAGGATATATAATATTTAACATTACTCAAACAACAATAATTATAACCAGAAGACATTTTTTAAGATTCAGGAGGATTGAGAGATATTTTCTACACTTTAAAGGGAGAACCAGGAGCAATGGTAACATCTCTCAAGCCAATAGACATGTTTAAGGACTGCTGCTGTATTTCACCCAAAGTTATGTCACATTCAACTTTAAGTTTTAATGTTAAAGCAAGATCATGGACATCATTCTGCATCCCTGGCTAAGCTTATGTCTAGTGCAATTGCATGCATGCCTACCAATTTCCATGGAGCTACTTAAATTCACACCATCTCTATGTTCAACCTCCCAATCTATCCTAAGGTGTGGATATGGATCCAAGAGAAATGTGACTCAAAAGTGGAACTGTATAGAACTGAAGGGGGTAAGGAAGAAGGCAGGAGATCAGATTCCAAAAGCCTAAGACTAAAGAGAAGTCAGTGTAAAAGAGACTTTACTTCTTGCATTACTGAAGTTGTTTTCAATCTGGTACTTCACTGTTCATCTGAAGAATGAATATATTATTGGCCCATTAATTTTCTTACAGTATATTAGGCTTATCTTCTGTCACTACTTTCTAGATTGTGCTCTGCTTCAAGTGCCCCTGTTACAGGAACTGAAACATCCAAAATGCTTGTCTCCTGAAAATGGGGTTCTGAAGAGGGTGGAGTATAATTATACTCTAAAAATGCTTCTAGTGCCATTTGATTTCTGTTCTTCACCTACCTCAACCTAGACTGAAGTATAGAATAACAGACAGGCAATGGCAGCCAAGTCGGGAAAAAGGATGATCTTGTGGTTAAGGGCTAGAATCCAGTAAACCTTGGTTCTAGTCCAAGCTCTGCTACAGACTTCCTGTGCGACCTTGGATAAGGGATTTAGGGCATGATTTTCTAAACCAGGTGAACAACCATGCAAGCTACAATGAATGCAGCATTGTCTATTTAATTTACATGCACAATTACCCCACCACAAATCAGATTTTTGTCCATGCAAATGCCCTATCCTATAAGACATTTACTGTGCGTTTCCATAATATTTAAACACACACAAAGTACTACCTGTTGCTGTGATAATCCTTCAGGCATAGGAGTCATAATTGCTTCTGTATGCATACAGTCAACATCAATAAATAAATTTAGTTCCTCTTCTTCCAGACAGGATGCTTTATTATCTACATATAATGAAATACAGCAGAAAGTCAATTTTTATATCTCTTTGGGTAGGAAAACCAGAATCACATTGTCCATGCACAGTCATCATACTGGGGTATCCACAGTCTTGTCTACACCAAGCATGTTAATGAACTCTGCCATCATTACTCTTGCACCGGTGTAGTTCCTTCAGTGCAAGAAACAGTGGGAGCTATGCAGAGAATAACTGCTGATGTTTTCATCATGATAAGGATGCATCAATGGTATAGCAAGGGTGGGAGAGTTCCCCAGCATCCTCAGTGCAGATGGCAGCCTCTGTGTCTTTTGCTTTACTTCCATTTGTTCTTTCCTGCCCAGAATGAAGTATATGACAGCAGGGGACAAAGCAGTCTTGCTCAAAGGGATGCATCTGTTGAACAAACTTCCACAGGAGATTAGGTGATCCATAATCTGACCGTCTTTAAGAAATGCTGCAAAATCTCTCTCTTAAGAAATACTTTCCACCATAGCAAGAATGACACTCACACACTGACACTCCCAACTAACCCCCCACGCAAAAAAATAAAATACATAAACCTGTAATAAACAAGCAAATCAACCAACCAAAACAAAAATTTCTCTAGCAGAGAAACAGAAGAGAGGCAGAGATTCCATGTAGTCCACTAGGGACTTAACAATTGCTATTGATTTTATGTAGAAAACACTCAGTACAGTGATTGGTAATACACACAGATATGAGGGAAGTAATGCTTCAGGAAGCAAAGAGCATGAGCAGATATGACTTAGAAAAAAGCTAATTAAGAAAGGAGTTCTGCTAGCTTGCAAAGTCTATGTGTTTCTTCAGAAAGAGTCTGTAAAACAAACCAGTTTCCCATGGACTAGGAAACTGGCTGAGAGCTCAATCCAGCCAGAAATGTACATGCCCGTCTTCTGTGCTACATAGCCCCTAAATAACTAGATATGTTAGCTCCATGGCAGACTAAACAATGACTGGCTGACTTGATGGTGAAGGTCAAAATCCAAATCCATCTGTGCCACACTAATGAATGAGGATAAATTTATGAGCAGGAAAGTTGTGTAAAAACCCCTTCCATTCTCCAGTACTCAAACTCCTGTGTTCAGGAACCAGTTTGAGTCCACCCCAGGGATACGCACTGTGTGTCAGTCCTTACAGCCTTATGACTGAAATAATCCCCTTGCCAGGCATTTTGAGTGGCGAGACAGACTAGCTCCCTGCATTTATTCGGGATGAGAAGGAACTTTGTACTCCCTGACACTTTCCCAGGCTAAAAACTATTGTGGTGCTCTGCTGCTGATGGTGGGGAGGGCTGTGTATCTGTTGTTATCAAGGACAGGGGTTATTCAGATCAGCAGTGTCCTGCGAAAGCTCCTTCCTTTCCTATCAATTGCCATTTCTTGAAGGATGGTAGGTGGCAGCACTCAGCTTGCAGTCCTTAGACTCCTCTTTCCTGGGCTGACACAATGATACTCCACACCATGGCATGGAGATACAACAGTTTCCCTTTATGCTTAGGATAGGAAATCGTGGTGGTAAGTATACAGTGTCACTTGGCAAATGCTCATTGGTTAATAGTAATCACTGTCACTCCACTGAGGGGCTAAACCAGGAAAGCATACTTAGGATGCAGACTCTTTAGATTTCTTCAGCAGCTGGCTGATGTTCAAGGGGTTTATTTGAAGGAAGGCAATGGGCGACACTTATCCCCTGACATTTCCCATGGTCCCATTTGCCATACTGCATATGAGCTTTGGACTAGGCAGAGTCTATGACACTGCTTATTGTAAAGGAGCACACTTACATGGCGGTGGAAGGCTGACTGAAGGATAATATGGCTGACTCAGGTTTCTAGTGAATTTCCAAAGTCCTCAGGGTTGCCTTCAAAATCTTAAAACTCTTGGAGATTCCACAACCACAGATCTATCAGAGCCCCGATTGTGACTGAGACATGCTTTATCAATGTAACTCTGGCTGACTCAGGTTTTATCAATGTAACTCTGCTCTCACGGGTCCAGTATACTCCTGGTAATAAATAACATGCTAAGACAATTAACTTAATTATCTAAGTGAACTTTATAGAGAAACTTGAATAATCCACACCTACCGTGGGTAATAAAGGATTTGGTTCTGATGAATGACCGACCTTTCTTCACAGCTGCTTTAGTCTTTTCGTAGCCATCTTTGGTACCTTCCCTGGCAGCCCTCATCAGCTTTTGCATCTGCAAGACAGCAAAAAACATATTCTACATATTCAGTGAATAATAGGAGTAGAATTCAACCTATTGTAGCATCAATCGTCTTAAAAGATGTCACCTTTTAAAAGAACATTGTCAAGTAGTTTAAGCCCAAAATCTAACCTATGGTCAAATGACTATAATCTTATGAAAAAAACTACTCCAGGTGTTATGAATATTTATAGGTATTTTAAAATATATTAATTGAGGTGGGACTTCAAATCTGAACACTGGTCTCTCCTGTCCTCTGATTTTTTTTGGATAACATCTACACCTGGATGAGACCTGTTTTCTGAATCTGCTTTGGATGCAATCCAAGATGGTGGAAATTTTACAAGAACCACTAGATTTCCACCATTCAAGGGTTCAGCTGGGCAGATATGTACTGAGAATAGATCACAAAATGTCACTGCCATGAAGCAGAAACCTGGACCAAGTTCAACCTCAAATGCAAACTACTAACCCTATCCCAAACTGAAACTGATCTGAACACTGGTTCCATTTATAATTAATTACATTCTTAAATAAGAACTGTATTGCAAGGATGTTTAAATTATAGCCCATCAGGGTCTACATTATTTTATTTTAGGCACACGTGAAAAAAGTGTTATAATTATTAGCCAGAGATGCAATTTTCCTAGTAAATCTCCATTCAAAAAACTGCTCTCCCTTTCCTGACTGCAGCCACAGCAAAAATGAACACTACTCCCACAATTGTGCTGACACTGTCAATTATAAACAGGGCATAAACAAAAGTATCTTGCCATGACAAAGCACTTTCAGTAGATGAGCAGTTGTTATTGAAAAACAACCTTCTTCATTTCAGTTCCATTCTGTACAAAGCATGAAGGTCCCCAATCGGGCAATCTGATCCATGTGGGACAACCCCTCTGCCCACATAGTTCCCATGGACTTTAACAAGGCTCCACAAGGGCAGAAGGGATCTGCACACATGGATCAGGTAGCAGGATCGGGGCCTCAATCATTAAGGAAAGACTATGTTGTAGTTGATCTTGTAAAAGTATTACAGCCAGACAGTAAACACTATAGAAATCCTTGACAATATTCTTGTAAGACAAACTGTACAATATACAGTACATTTAGTAATAATTTTAAATAAGTTACTGTTCCATTTTTGATATTCAACTTGCTGTTTAACAAAGAAAAGATAACATTGTCTGCATTTGAAGAACAATCATTTTAACACGTAGCTTGTTACGAAAATTAACTACACTACCTTCAGCTCATGTTTTTGCTTTAGTTGCTGAATCTCTACCGCTCCCACAGTGTTTGCCATCAAATCTTTCATCTTTTTCTCATAGTGCTCCTTTAAACGGGTTAGGTCATGAGAAAGCTACAGTGTATAAAAAAATACAAACTTTTCAAAAAGGCTGTAGTGCAAACTTAACACTGAAGTACATGCGAAGTATCATGCATGCGATTCTGTCTGCCTATCAGTGTCCTGTCAATAGAGAGAATGTAACCAATTAGGGGAGCTGGATTTTTTGTTTGTGTGTTCTACACATTGCTGCACTTACTGAGTATGTCTACACAGGGATGAAAACTCATGGCTGGCCTGGGTCAGCTGACTCGGACTCGCAGGTCTCAGGCTCCGTGGCTGAAAAATTCCTGTGTAGACATTCAGGCTCAGGGTGGAGCCCAAGCTCTGTGACCCTGACCTGGGCCAGCCACAGCCATGCCATGGGTCTTTTATCCCCATGTAGAGTATACCCACTGAGGCTTAGACTGAGGCCTTCATGATCCACTGGCAAGTGCTTTGACAACATGATGAAGGAAGAGGAAGCTTCCCTCAATCCAAAAGAATAGCAGTTGTGCTAAGCTCATCTAAATTTAAAGTTATACTGTGCATCTCTTGCTATTATAATATATTAGCATTAACCTAGAACACCACTCCATTGTGCCAAGTATTAATCCTAGCTTCTATATTTCTGAAGATCCTCAAGAATGGTGAACTGAACGAAAAACTGTCAAAATAGGCCAAAGTATCTGCAGAACTTCCAAATATTTTTGAAATTGAAGGTTCATCGCACTGGTGAGTTGGGTAAGCATAGTCCAGTACAGAAAGATGTATAATCTACTAGTTAGAGCACAGGAGTGGGAATCAGGAATTCTGTGACCTATTCACAGCTTTATTCCAGATTCACTGAGGGCCTTGGGCAAGTCATATAATCACTCTGTGCATGAATTTGTATTAAAGGGACAATACCTGCCAAGGGCTGTTGTATGACTTATTAATCAATGTTTGTGAAGCACTCTGAGAACCTCAGGTGAAAGTACAAAGAAAAATATTCACTGAAAATATCCAGTATAAAACTTTGCATTTTGACATCAGTAACATTGTTTGACAACAAATGGAGGTAATATGAAACGAGATGTCCACCAAGTTGAAAACAAAGAGCCAAATTCTGCCCTCAGTTACACCCTTATAGGTCAAGATGTAATTAACACCGTTGGTACCACTCTTGCCTTACACCCATGAAAATGAGAGCAGAATTTGATCTACCAACAAGAGGGCATTTCATTTTGCAAACATGCCGCCCCACCAAAAAAAAACAACAATAAAAAAACAAGGTTAAAAGTGTGTTCCACTGGAGCCCCACCAATACGCCAAAGGTAACAAGAGCGAAGAAACAAAATATCCTGCCACTTCAGGCACACTATGTGCAGAGCATCTCTCAACTGCTGCCTAATGTATTCAGAATGAGAATCAGATCTTTCTTCAGTCAGGTCCAGAATTACCCCAGCAAGCATCAGGTAGAGTAGCTTAAGCTTGTTTCAGCCAGGGGGAAAAACAACAGTGCTTAACTAGTCTCTTTTAAGCAGATACAGTTCTTCAGTCATTCCTCCTCCCCACTCTAGTTCCTGATCCTGATTCTGCATGGATGGGATATAGGGCAATGGATGGAGCAGGGATATGAAGAGCAGTGAGTTAAGAAATCTGTGAAATCAAAATGTGGATCTTGTGGAATTCTGTTCTATTCTATTCCATATAGGATCTTATATCAAATTTGTATAACAACATTTTCTCTGTTTAGTCTTCTCTCCACGGTGAATTTCCCGCCCCTAACTTTGTACCCACTTGAACATTTTGTGTTTGAAATTGCTACATTATTGGGTTTGCAATACCTGTAAGAGGAAATGCAAGAAAATGAGCAGTGTAAGGGCAGAGAGAAAATGTAACTATTTAAATAAAAGGCAAAAAAACCTGGAGATAGAGTAGGAAGAAAGACCAAAACAAAAAAACAACAACAACAGAGGACAGGAGAGATATAACTTGTAATTCAAATACAGATTCAGTGTATAGGCTACATCTCAGCCATTTTGTGTTCCTCTGCAAATCTGCTGCAACAGCTGGATCTGCAATACCTAGTCCTGACCACCTTGGCATAGATGGCTGGAGCATCATGCACCCTAACAAATCCCAGTTCTGAAATGACGCCTAGAGGATCATTAGCAGAAACTAGTAGAACTGGAAGAACTAGAGCAGCCTGAGTTTAATGTACTCTAGGTACTGAACCAGTCCATAGTTGCCTCCAGGAGCAATGGAGAACAAAGGTACTAGACCAGAAAATCAGGCACTATACAGCTTGTATACAGACCATCCACCCTCACCAGGGAGACTTTGAGTCTTTCTATCCCCCAATACATAGCATAGGCTTCCCTTCAGCTACAATAATCATTTTTTCAAAGCTGAATCACAGTTGAGCAATAAAATAAAGGGTTAAAATCAAAGGGGGCAGAGAAATGTTTGAAAACTGACTAGTTTTGTGAATTCTGCAAACCCATTCATGCGGATTGCACAGCCTCAAAATCCATGACGGTCACCCAGTTCTACTCTTCACACTACTTCCTATACTCATTTGCCACTTACACTATGTCAGTGGCTGCAGAAGTGGAAAAGGTCATGAACAGCTCATGGGAAACAAACAACCCATTTTCATAGCCTATGTGCAGATCTGTCTCCCTTTATGTTTTCACCAGTTTTTTCCTTTTATGTTTTGCCTTCAGTCCTCATTCTCTTACTGGTTCAGAGCTCATTTGCAAAGATGCTCTTTGTACTTCGCGGTTGGGTTCATGAGAGGGTATGGGGACAACTGGGCAAGGTAAATGTTGAGCAATCAGGGTAATTAGAAAAACCGAATAAGGAAAAAGACTGCTGTGGGTTACATACATGTCTTTTGTGGTTGCCTCGCAAAAAGGAGCTGGGAATTCCATCTTTGCACTCTGAGTCACTTTGTTCTTCATAGCTTTCAAACTCACTTGAACTCCATCCGTATTCTAGGGAGCTGTTTCCACCTTCATCTCCATTTTCAACATCATCATAAATCATTTCCTCTGCATGCGTTAATACCAAAACACAAAAGAAAATACAATATTTTACTTAAGCATCAAAGAAGTTCCCATGTGTTTTAATTCCAAAGTGCCTGTTCCCTATGGTCTACAGCAGGGATTGGCAACCTTTGGCCCGCAGCCCGACACGGTAAGCACCCTGGCGGGCCGGGCCGATTTGATTACCTGCCGCGTCTGCAGGTTCGGCAGATCGCGTCTTCTACTGGCCATGGTTTGCCATCCCAGGTCAATGGGGGCTGCAGGAAGCGGCGGCCAGCACATCCCTTGGCCCACGCCACTTCCCGCAGCCCCCATTGTCCTGGCACAGCAAACCGTGGCCAGTGGGAGCTGCGATCGGCCGAACCTGCGGACGCGGCAGGTAAACAAACCAGCCCGGACCACCAGCGTGCTTACCCTGGCAGGCCACGTGCCAAAGGTTGCCAATCCCTGGGCTATAGTCTGCCCTTTGCTACACTGCATAGATAGCAGTAGGAAGCCTTTTCTCAGCATTCAAGCTTCCAGGCAGATATCTCTTTGGTGCACCACAGTAGCATGTATGGCTAATGCTCTGGTGCCCACACCACACTCCCTAGGAGGATGGACTCTTCAAAGAGGGGTGTCCAATATATGTGTTCATCTTTATTGTGCTGGTTTGCTGGTGCTAAGGCAGAATTTGCTTCTATATGTTTTATTTTATATACAGTAGATCTTTGTGCAAATGCTGCTCATTGTACACACAAGTTCAGTGGGATGTCAACATAATTACTCCCATGCATATGGTGAGCAGGAATTGACCCTCTATATGTAAACTCCCCTTGATGTATCTTGCTACCACATATACCACCTCACTTTAGGAACCTTTTCATGATCAATACACACAACAGATGACATATTTTGGCTAGGAACAAATAAAAAAGTTACCACTTTAAGTAAAATGGATTAGACCTATGTATAGCAAGAACTATAACCCATTTTCATCCTCCCAACTACATTCATACTCAGCAGTCATGAATGCATCACCTCAAATTACCAAGGAGCATTACCTTATGTATAAACTAGATTAAGAGCTCAAAACATTAAGCTTTTTCCGATCACTGACCAAGTGGCTTCATATCAGCAGCCACTTCAAGTGCTGTCAGCTAAAAATTAATGAAAAACAGTTTGCACAATTACTTATTGAATCAGTTATTAAAAATGACTTCATTGTTTGGGGAAACGCTTTTAATTGCTTTATTAATTTCTGTCTCCTACTTTCCATCTTTACTGTGACTGATGTTTTAGCTGGCATAGGCATCACCCATAACACATTGATTCTAAATGAAATGGAAAGATTTTACTGCCAAATAATCATGAGAAAGCAGGTATTTGCTTTCATAGTTATAAATGGCATTATTTGTACCATTACAATTAAGGTATGTAGGCACTTGTATTATAAATTTCTATTTTCTGGGAGATTATAATTTAGTATTAAAAACTGCTCTGCAGTAAATCTCAGCACACCTGACCAGCACTTTGGAGATAATGTTTGATTTATGCAACAGTCTACAAAAAAGAGACAAGATTTAGGTTATATGTAAATGACAAATTGTTTCAGAGAAAAAAAATTGACTTTTTGCACATTTGAATGGCCCAATACTTATTAAATTCAAAAACTAAAATTTGACAAGTAACAGTTTTGTAATATTAATTAATATTACTTAAAGCATTTGGTATTAACAAAAAGTGAACTCCTGGAAATGCTGAATCTCAACTTTTGAATCTAGCTAGATTCGGTTCTTAAACACACACTTCTTGCATGGCACCATTCAGTGGCATTCCAGCAAAACAGAGAATTTAACAAAAAAATCATTGTAATGACAGTGAACTCTAAAATTTGTGGATCATATATAGTTAAATAGCTCTGATTTGGGGCCCAGTCCTGTAAACAATCTGTGTGTGAAACTCCCACTGACTCCAAGGGGAGATCTGCACAATAGAGCACTTATGAGAGGGAGCCATAGGCCCCAATTCCGCAATGACAGCAGTGCTGGTAGACCCTGCCCCCAAGCTAAACTCCAGTGAATACAATGGATCTGCCTGAATTGCAGAATGGGAGCCTCAGATTTGGGAAATTCATGAGACAGGGACAGTGTCTTCCTGTTAAAACGTATATAGATTGAGGATTATAAAGGTACAAACATTACTACAAACAGCACACATTCTAAATTCCTAATACTATTCATCATTAAACATGGTGTGATTACTTTAAAAATTCCTTATAAATTCAAGAAATTAATTCATCCAATAGGATAATATGCATTCCCAACCTGTTCTCAATTTAAAAACAAACAAAACCTTAGATCTTAATTGCAAAATTATCAGTTCAGGTGGTCACAAAAAATAGTTTTTTCCCCCATGGAAAGTTTAGACTTTTCAGCTAAAAATAGAAAGCTGAAAATTTTCAGCTGAAAACTTTTGATTTAAAACCAAAGATTTTGATTCAGATTTAATTGTAGTTCAGATGCCTCATGCCTCATTCTCTTCTATAGGTTGGGCTCAGAGACTGAACTACATCTTGGTCTCCTCTCTCGTGGAACCACCATTGTGCACCATGGGAATCCCTGGTCTTGGTGTATGATGGGGGATGTAGTCCAAATGGAGGCTTCCCAGTAAGGAAGGCACCTGAGAAAGGTGTGATTTTGCAGATCACATTATCTAATATCTTTAAACAACACTGCACCCAGCATTCCACTACTCACAATTTTCAAGGTGAAAACCAATGTTGCCAGGATTTCATCAAAGTCTACTCTTGTCCCTCCATCCAGTAAAGGAGTTAGGTTAGTTTGGAGTTAGAATAAAACTTTTCTACAGAGGTATACATAGGTCGGTTGCAGCCTCTTTGAACGTCTTCCTTGACTGATGTACAGTAAGCTGTAGTAGTAGTGTAGTGGACTGGGTGCAAGCTGCTCATTGGCATGAGTTCTCCTCCTGATTTGTTATGTTACAGTTGGTCAAAGAGCAGATTTTGTTTGAGACTTGGCTGCTGGCTAACTTCACCCTTGAGTGGACTGACTTGCTAGGAAGTCAGCAGCTAGAGCTTTAGACATCAGAAAGCTCCACTACATTTAGATATCAGGTGCTATTCTACCTCAGCATGCTCAGTGATGTTCACCCAAGAAGATCCCCAAGTCTTGTGGTTTTGAAAATACTTTTTTAGGTCAGTTCTCTGTATAATTCTAGATGTTTTTTAATACTTAACAATACCCAAAGGGCGAGACTGTGACTGTGGCAGAGATCTGAATGTTCAAAATGGTCCCTTCTGGCTTTGGAATCTATGAATCAGGCCTTTGAACAGCGTAATAGAAGAAGCTTTTGGAGGCAAATTTTGACAGGAGTAGTCCTTAATTTGGAACTTCGTAGGACTTGATGATTTGTGACACAATGTTAATGGCATTTACATGCAGTTTGGGGGTATGAAACTTACACCTATATGTCTGTCTGATACAAATTCCCCTGGATCATATTATAGTTTTATGTGTGCATTAAAATAAAACCTGTGATTGTATTAAATCATCATCATCAAAGTTACCGCATAAACTCAAACCTGGTTCAGTGTCTGAATCTTCTTTTGGCACATCGTCATAAATTACTTCATCTGGGTCTAATAACAAAAAGGAAAAACAGTGGGAAAAGCTTTTTAGATTTGACTCAGACCAACAAAGATTTTGGGTCTTATCAGCAAATATGTGTATAATAGAGACATACCCTATTTTCTGTTTACATAGAAATATCAGTATTTTGCCTGTACTTCTATTCAATCAAATAACATAAATAAAGTATAATAATAATAAAATAATTATTATTATTATTATTATCTATATTATTAACCATAACAGTGATGGCTCATGTGGCCATCACCACGTCTGGCAGGAACTTCAGTTAAGCTGCAAAGTGCACTCAGGGGGCTCTCCTGTATATCCTGTGATTCCTTTCTTGCTCTCTCCCAGCACTCTCTCATTCCAAATCCCTGCACCAGACCCAACCCTGCAGCTAGGATGATAAGGTGATCTGACTTTACAAGGTGAAAAAACAGTCTATTGTGCTGGGGTCTGGGGTGGGACAAGGGGAGTGGAGAGGAAGGAAAAGGCAGCCCACACTCATCTTTCTCTATTTTTTAAGCTTTTATTTCTTCCGTTTCTTCACTTCTCCCTGACATTCACCACACTACAATGTTCTCCCCCGCGTGCCACCGGTATTCAGTTCTTTGTCTGTCTCATTCATGCTCAGTCCTACATTTTCCTTCTTACTCTTTTTAGTTCCAACCCCACCCCACCCCCGACACAATCCAGCTGGCTCAGAAGCTGCCGGACATAATTGTGTACAGCTGGGCCGCCAATAGGCTCACCACTTACAGAACTGCCTGGAATCTGACTCCATCTGAGGGGAAGGCTGGCGGGAGGGGCGCTCACTGACAATCTTCATCCACAGTAGGGTGGCAAACGTGACAGACCTGGCATGTATGTGCTCCCCCAACCTGCCGTGAATTTCACTGATTCAGCTGGCCCCTGGCTCCTTCAGGGGGCCAGGCTACAAGGTTTAAAAAAAATCAGGGCAAAACACTGTCTTTCATTAAACAGTCTGGGCAGGACACCAGATTCTTGGTTTCCTGGGACAGAGTCTCTCTATCCCCAGGCCACACAAAGTCATCCTTTAGCGTGACTTTAGATCTGTCTAGCACACACACTATCCATGGTATTTATCACAATTTTTTTAACAATTTTTTCCTCATCATTTATAACCTTTCGGGAGCTTGAGACTGAAATCTGTTTCATCGGCCAAATGTTTTCTCCTCCTTTGTGCAAGCCAATTGGATTGTTACTGTAAGGTTGTCATGAGTGCTAAACTGCAGGCGCTGGTGTCATTGTCAAGAATCCTTGATATAACTGTTCAAGACCCAGACGCTGTCTGGAAGTAATTTAATGATTATGTTGGTAAACTAAGAAACAGGTTGGAGTGATGAAGTAATTCCCCACTCCTCCCAATTTCCATGTGGGGGGACATTTCCAGACCAGTGGGCACCATCTCTTTGTCCTGGCTGAGCTATATAACACAGCTCAGGCAGGGAGAATGCCTCTTTAAGCTACAGAGCCTCTTTCAATTTCCTGCCCTGAGACACAGACTCATTCAACAAGCTAAGAGCCAGTTTCCCACATTAGGATTTAGAGGGATTCACTTAGCCTGCCCAGAGTTCTTCACTCCCAACCTCTCCATGATGAATCCAATTGCCAGATGTGGCAAATAGACCTGTTTGCATAATGCCAGTTTCAGCCTCAAGTGACTCTACCAAGGACTTAATGGAATTATTAGGTCATAAGCAAATTTCTTCCTCAATATACATCCATCAGATGGGGCCAAATTATCCCCCCGGTTACTGGTACATGACTTCACTTACTTCAACAAACACTTATTGTGAACAGAATTTGGCCCTTATACTAAAAATGGAGACGCGTGTTTTTTAATTGTTGTTATTTAGCTCTGGAACATGTTTGAAAAATGCAGGAAAAGACAATGCAGATGTTCCCAGGCATAAAGCTGTGACTGATGATGACATTGAGTCACCTACTGACACAGTGACACTGCTGTGACTGATTGACACTTACTTTCCATCCATGATGTGTTTGCAGGATCTGCAACCCATTTGGCTAGAGCATCTTCTTCTTTACTGACCTGGTTATCTTCACTTGAAAAAACCCCACAAAATAAATGAATTAAAAATCTTGCAACGTTCGTTTTAAACCATGTCAATAAGTAGCTAAGTTCTACTCATCTTTTTCCTCGCATTCTGAAATTAAAAGGCACTAGAAAACTGTTGGCTAGTTCAGACTTAATATGTAAGTTTTATGTTTTTCTTTTTAAGATCTAAGTGACTTAATATGGAATTAAGAATTTAACTTTAGCAACCCATTGTTGACAATATTAGCTTAAATAAATAAATCACTTATTCTTCATTTTCCAAAGAAATTCTTTGTGTTTGCAGTCTCCCTGTAAGGCAGAAAATTAAACCTCTCTCTTTCACAGATGTCAAAGGGCCACTTGTAATGGTTTTATATGCAAGAGTTCACCCAGTGCTGATGCTAGTACACAAACAGAGTTGATCTGGCACCACAAAGCACAATGAAAGCTGAAGTTGTTAAAAACCCAGCAATGAGAATGTCAGGCAAGAAAAAATAAAACTAAAAATATAAAAGTAACCAACAAACCATCTCATGAATTAAGGATTTGGAGATAAATAAATGCTGCCAATTACCTATTTGGGGGATCCTCTGAGCTCAAGGAATTACTATTGCCATCTTCAGTTACTGACTGCATACCCACTAAAAAGAGTAGAAGACAGCAGAGTTACTAGAATGCTAGGACTAAAACATATTTTTGGTTCAAATGTTAGCTTCTAACTTAAATAATTAATAGTACTGCTACTATTAATCATCATCTGCTCTTATACAATGCCCTTTATCTACAGATCTCAATGCGGTTTATGAACACCTCTCAAAAATAATTAAGCTTCTTCGTGTTATTATATCCATTTTGGCAATGGGGATACTAAGGCACAGGGGCACAGCAAGTCAGTGGCAGAGTTGTTAACAGAACCCAGAGCTGGATGAATGACTGGTTTTTCAGTTTGCTAGAAGTTCCAAAAAAAATCTTTAAAAAAATTGGTTCAGGTCAAACCAAGTCTGAAAATTCAGGAAAATGTGCGTGAATTGAAAAATAATTAACAAGTTTGTTTCAGTAAAACAAAATGTTTCATTCAACCCAAAATGAACTGCTTTTTTAAAATCTGGACACTTCATAAATGCACAAAATGGCTTTTAGTCCAGTGGTAAGGGCAGTCTCCTGGGATGAGGCAGATCAGGGTTCAGTTCCCCCCCTTTACCTGAGATGGAGAAGAGATGTCAACTTTGGTCTCCCGTTTTGCTCTAGCCTATCAAATAATCTTTTATGGGTCTCTCTCAATCTCTCCAGGTGAAACTATTCCACTTTGTATCAAATACTTGACAGAGAGAAAGTAAGAATGACTCTGGTGGTAAGGGCATTCACCTGGGAGACCAATTTCATGTCCTTGCTCCACTGACTAATAGTTGAGAACCTCTGGTTTAAAAAACTATGTAGAAGGGGTTTTTTGTTTAAAAAAAAATGTGTGTTTGCTCACATCTCTCAAAGTGCACTAATCCCACTTGAATAGTTTTTTCTTAAATGGCCCATTCCTAATAATACAGAGTCCTTCATGGATTTTCTTTCTCTTTAATAAACAAAAATCCTTCTCAGATGACTGGGAGCGAAGTTCAGCTGTGTACTCTGTGATGGAGATGATTTTCAATTGTTACAGAGTTCCCCACAGATTTCAAGGAAGAGTGCTACATAAAAACTGAGAGGGCAATATGGTTCACTGAAATTAAACTAGGTCGCAACCTGAGAGAAAGTAAATTCAAGAGATATTGTACCTTCTTCGTCCACAGAAACACTGCGTATTATGACAGGACTGGAATATGCCGGCAGCATCAGTGGTAAATTGGATGGTACAGCATAGCCACAGGGCACCGGAACAGAATATACACCAGACAAGTTAGGGCTTGCATTTTCATCTTGAGGATTGGGTTCTGGTGATGAGGAATGATCCTTTTCTTGGATTGGTGAAATATTTATGACTGAATACGGGTTTACTTTTGTTGGAGCGCCATCTGCACGGGATTCTGTTGTTTGTATTTTCTCAGTTCTACCTATGTTGTCATCCCCTTGACAAATAAAAGAAGCATAAGCTTTCGTTTACATCATAAGAACGTAAGAACAGCCATACTGGTTCAGACCACAGGTCCATCTAGCCCAGACAGTGGTCAATGCCAGGTGCTCCAGAGGTAATCATCAATTAATCCATCCCCTGTCACCCATTCCCAGCTTCTGGCAAACAGAGGCTAGTGGCACCATCCCTGTCCATCCTGGCTAATAGCCATTCATGGACCTATCCTTCATGAATTTATCCAGTTCTTTTTTGAACCATGTATAGTCTTGGCCTTCAAAACATCCTCTGGCAAGGAGTTCCACAGGTTGACAGTGCATTGTGTGAAAAAATACTTCCTTTTGTTTAAACCTGTTGCCTATTAATTTCATTTGGTGATCCCAAGTTCTTGAGTTATGAGAAGGAGTAAATAACACCTCCTTATTTACTTTCTCCACACCAGTTATGATTTTATAGACCTCTATCATATCCCCCCTTAGTCATCTCTTTTCCAAGCTGAAATTTATATTGCACTAAATAGTAACTCTAGTATTTATATGGCTTCTGCCACTGTAGTATCCGAGCACCTCAGAATCTTTAAAGTATTTATTCTCACAGCACCCCGTGAGTTGTGACAATGCTATTATCCCCAATTTATAGATGGCGAACTGACACAAATTGGGCGGGGGGGATGTCCCTTGTACCTTTTAGCCCAGTGGTTAGGGTACTCACCTGGGATGGGGGGAGACTCCTGGTTCAAATCCCCCCTCCACCTGACAAGGAGAACAGATTTGAACAGAGCTCTGCCACCTCTCGGGTGAGTACCCTAGCCATGGGGCGATGGGACAGTCTGATGCAGGGCTCCCTCAATCTCTCCTGTTGAAGATGTTCCACTTTGGACAAATAATGAAAGAGTGATTGGAGCAGGGAGGATGGGATCCTGGTTCTCCCACCTCCTAGGTGAGTGACTCTATAGCCTGGTGGTTAGATCATGTCTAAGAGTTGATGGACATGGTGAATGCTCTTAACAGACACACAGGTCCACAGCTCCTAATAGTCAAAGAAAGAAGGTTTGTTTTCATGTATGGCACAAAAATATGCTCCATTTATTTTTAAGAGCACATCCACTCAATGCCACCAACCAGGTTGCCCAAGCTGAGTGAAGCATGCCCCCCAGCTGCCAAGTTGCCACTACAGTTACGTCTTCACAGCCCAGGTCGTTAGACCTGGGCTATGGGGCTCACGCTAGTGCTCTGAAAATAGTCGTGTAAACAGCGCCTTGAAGTGGCTCAGGCTCTGACGCCCACACCACTCTCTAGCCTTCAGAGTGTGAGCCACAACTTCAAAGCACTGTCTGCACAGCTATTTTTAGAGTGCTAGTATGAGCCCCATTGGGAGGCTCACTTCCACGGACTATGTAGACACACCCTATGAAGCTTCCCTAGAGATATCCATAGATAATCGTTGTCACAAAGACCCTACCATCACAGCAGATTCCTGCACAAGACAGGGATGAGGAAACCAGTTCCTAGGTTAAGTGCAGCAGGGGAATAAGAATCCAGTCAGGGACAATAACTACCCTTTCTCCTTGTTAAGTCCACAAGGAACTAAAGTATTTGGGATAAATTAAATGACTTTCACATTCCGTCTATGGAAATATTTTTGTGAACTACAGCAATTCTATCAGCATGAAAAGCATCTGATGAACATGGGGCTTGATCCTTACTTGAGCAGTACTCCCCTGGCCTATTAGCCATATAAAGGCTTACCTGTGGAGTTAGTGTCTTCATGTTCTGCATTAATCCCAGAGTCTGAAGCAGGTGGCACAAGTGCTTGTCTGTCTGCTTCTGGTATTTCATCGCCACTATCGAAATCAAATTGTTCCCCTTCTTCCTCCTCTTCATCATTGGTACCACAGCCTTTTAATTCATTTTCTAGAACTGAGCAGAGAGGAACCATTTTTTATTAATGATTTAATGGGATAAGTGCTCACTGTTGTGAATGAGGGTTGCACAATTAGGTCCTAGAATTTTAGGCTCTCTAGGACAAAGCAGTGCTCCTTGATATATTTCTAAGACCATGAAGTTCTTAGTAATCTTTTTAATGTAAACCACGCCAAGTAAACACATATATAATACAATGTGTTTCTATTTTTAATAGAGACCAGCCAGAACCAGAACACTTGTTATGAATAAACTTCAACAGCTTCCTCTGAAAACTTTGGAAAAGTTCAGATCTGAATCCAGATCCAAATCTAAACTTTGTGACTTAAGCCCCTCTTTCATAGACTCATAGAATATCAGGGTTGGAAGGGACCTCAGGAGGTCATCTAGTCCAATCCCATGCTCAAAGCAGGACCAATTCCCAACTAAATCATCCCAGCCAGGGCTTTGTCAAGCCTAACCTTAAAAACCTCTAAGGAAGGAGATTCCACCACCTCCCTAGGTAACCCATTCCAGAGCTTCACCACCCTCCTAGTGAAAAAGTTTTTCCTAATATCCAACCTAAACCTCCCCCACTGCAACTTAAGACCATTACTCCTTGTTCTGTCATCAGATACCACTAAGAACAGTCTAGATCCATACTCTTTGGAACCCCCTTTCAGGTAGCTGAAAGCAGCTATCAAATCCCCCCTCATTCTTCTCTTCTGCAGACTTTCCTTATAGATTCACAAAGTCCTAGGCCAGAAGGGGTCGTTGTGATCATCTGACCTCCTGTATAACACAGGTCATAGAACTCCCCCAAAATAATTCCTAGAGCATTGGATGTTTTTCTAAAAGCTATCTTATTTTTAAAATAGTTAGTGATGGAAAAATCCACCATGACCCTTGGAAAATTGTTCCAATCATTAATTACTCAAAACTGCTAAAAAAAATTATGCCTTATTTCCAGTCTGAATTTGTCTAGCTTCAGCTTCCACAACTAGCATCATATTGTGCTATACCTTTCTCTGATAGATTGAACATCTCATTATTAAATATTTGTTCCCTATGTAGATACCTATAAACAGTGATCAAGTCACCCCTTAACCTTCTCTTTGTTAAGCTAAATAGATTGAGCTCGTTGAGTCTATCATGCGAAGGCATGTTTTCCAATCCTTTAATCATTCTTGTAGCTTTTCTCTGAAATCTCTCCAATTTATCAACATCTTTCTTGAATTGTGGATACCAGAACTGGACATGGTATTCCAGCAGCGGTCACACCACTGGCTAGATTCTACAGAGATAAAACAACCTCTCTACTCCTACTCAAGACTCCCCTCTTTATGCCTCCCAGATCACAATAGCTCTTTTGGCCACAGCATCACAGTGAGAGCTCATGTTCAGCTAATTATCCACCACATACCCCAAAATCTTTTTCAGAGTCATTGCTTCCCAGAATAGAGTGTCCATCCTGTAAGTATGGCCTATGTTCTTTGTTTCTGGGTATATATATTTACATTTAGCCATATTAAAACACATATTGTTTGCCTTCATCCAGTTTACCAAGTGATCCAGATCGCTCTGTATCAATGGCCTGTTCTCTTCATTATTTACCACTCCCGCCAATTGTGTCGTTTGCAGACTTCATCAGTGACGACTTTAATGTTTTCTTGTAGATCATTGATAAAATCTTAAATAGCATACAGAGTCCACTGAAAACGCACCCACTCAATAATGGTTCCCTATTTACATTTTAAGACCTATCGGTTATTCAGTTTTTAATCCATTTAATGTGTGCCATATTAATTTTAGATCTGCCCACTCAAACTTTGGTTTCTCTGCTGAAACTGCCAATAACAGCACCAGTTAGTGCCAGTATGACAATAGCAGAAACTCTCTTCACATGGGCCATCAAATATCTACCGTGTTTCCCCGAAAGTAAGACATCCCCCGAAAATAAGACCTACTTCCAGTTTTGCCTCTTGCTGTAATATAAGGCATCCCCCGAAAATAAGACCTCCCCGCTAATAAGGCCACCCCAGAATATAAGGCCCCGAAGCTCCAGGAAAAATAAGACCTCCCCTGAAAATAAGACCTAGCGCATCTTTAGGAGCAAAAATTAATATAAGACACTGTCTTATTTTCGGGGAAACAGGGTATCAGAGGGTATTGAGTTATGCTCAGTACCAGCCTGAGCTGGCTTTGAGCTGGCTTTAAGTGACCTAGGGTGAAATGCTCTCTATTCTGTCAACAAACCTGTAGGTCAACAGCACTCCACTTTTCTAAACCCTGACCTTTGTAAAAGTAACAACTGAATCAATGTAATTACCTCTCCTGTGACCAACCAGACAGGGTGAGCTCCTTGACTCTGTCCATGAAAAACTGGGAGGGATGAAGTGCAGAAGGAGAAGGTGTTCCCCGCATAGGCCCTTCTATCTTCTTGGCAGAGACCAGTCTCAGCAGGGTTTATGTGGCAGGAACTGGGATCCAGCTGCTGTCTGTGTCACTATCCTTGTGTGACAACAGCATCATGGATACCCCATTAGGATTTAATTCTGCCACAGTAAAGCCCCCACTGTTGCTCTTACTGCCTGAGTTCAGAGAACTTAGTCAATGGCAGCCTCAGCTCCTACTGGAGCCATTGTGCCAGGGCAATGGTGGACACAGCAGCAGAAAGAGGAAGCCTGCTCAAGCAGTGGTACCTGCTTCCACCAATCTCCTTTTTTGAGGGTCATCAGAACACAAAGGGTTGAGACACACCTTACCGCTTCCCACTCTGTGCCTGGCACAACACCCCATCCCAACCCCCATGCCTCTTGAGGAGAAAACTGCCAGAAACCCCTATGAGATGGAGGTAATAACGAGTGGATTTTCTGCTCTGTTCCCACACACCCCCTCCCCCTGGCTTTTCCACAGCAACAGGAGAATACATTCCATAATATATTTTTAAAGTACATATTTTTCAACAACATATTAAGTGTGTAAGAGAAGTAAAATTTACCATTTTTTTCTTGAGGTAATATGAGGTAAAAGCAAACTCCTGCAGGGTTTATTAAATCTCCTGAGTTGTGATGATTTTATCACCATCTTCACTAGCTAGGACATGCTCGGTATCCTTATGATAAAACCCACACAGTTCACAGCTCTTAACTGTTTAGATTGTCATGGTTATAAACATTCTTGCCAGAGCTTCAGTTTCTTCAGGCTGAGACAGCATATTTTATGATTGTACAACAATAACAAGACCTTTCACACAGTCCTTCTCTAGAGGGGAAAAGGTGACTCATTTTTTTAAAGGAACAAAAATGTATAAGTTGCCTGCTTACTATCATATCTTATGGTTGAGGCAACAGGACACTTAATTTCAAGCCATTTTCTTCATGTGTTTATATATTGTATAAAGTTACCTTTGGGGCTGAACCTTTACATATTTGTATTTGACCAAATGTGATTCTCCCCCCCCCCAAATTGATAAAATTCTATGAGGCTGATACAGTGCCTATTGAGGGCAATAGAAAGACTTTCACTGACTTCAGTGGGCTTTGGATTAGGCCTAGGTGACCATTTTTGAGTTATCAGATCATGGGAGGGGGAAAATGGCTTTCAATTTTTTCAGGTGCTTTACTTGTTATTGGAAAACTCAAATCTCAACTCCTGTGCAAAGTCTGAGTACACTTTTTTGTGTGTGTATGAAGGTGCCATGTCAGTGGATAAGTGCAGCTGATAACCCACTGGCCACACCACAGCTCTTAATATGCATTGCTGCCAGTCCTGCCGATCTCCATCGAACCGCCTGCTGCATCTAACAGCTGGTCCTGATGATCTCATTCTGATTCTCCTCTGTCTTGCATCTTGTTTACACCTGAACAATGTGGTGTGAAACACTAGCAGAAGTGTGAGTAGATCAGGCCCACGAAGAGAACTTTGGGGCCTTGGAATATCATGTGCGTTGGGACCTTACCCCTCCCATTTCTTTATTTACACAGAGGTTACAGACGTTTTGAGAGGGCCTGAGCTCAGGGCCATGGTACTATTGTCCCCCCTTTCCCTCTGATAAGCAGAGAATTCTGATTTGGTAGCACTATACACCTACTTTACCTAAGGGTAAATGGTGACACATGGAGCCAGGCAGTGGAAAATCTGGCCCACTGAATAGAAGAGGAAAAGAGAAGCAGAAAAAAGAAGGCAGAAAACAGAGAAGATTAGATTTATTCATCTGGAAACAATAGGTTTAATGCACTATTCCATCACACCAGTTTTACAGCCACGCACCTCCTTTGTCTGTGAATGTAGCCCAGTATCACTGACAAGAACTGCCATCTCCAGAAAATTTATCTGAGACATTGTGAAGTGGAAGGAGCAATAGGGTGAGGGACTGAAAGTGATATAAGTAAATATTATGACCCAATCAGAGGAGAATGTTCAAAAGAGTCTTAGTGAGTTAGAAGAATAAGTCTCATTGACTTTCAATGGGATTTCTGCTTCTAACATACTTTGGACTTTTGAAAAGTGCCTACCACAATTTTTACCCCAGTCCCTGCTTTTTAAATATATTGATTGCTCCATACCACACTTCTGAAATGACCTCTGCACAGAACTTGAAGAGCACCGACCGTGGAAGCTCTTCCACCCACACCAGTCCAGTGATGGAATGAGGAGTTAAGCAGGGAAATAAAGAGAGAACACTCCTTATCATATTACACACATTTTAGAAACACTAACTCTGTGGACCAGTGATTCTCCTTCAGGAAATTTTAAAACTAGATTCTATCTTATAGCACTGCCATGTTCCTTCCTTTCTTCTGTATGAACATGAATAGCTTTAAACCTTAACATCCAATGATCCCTTGAATCTAATAAGTAATAAAAATGTTACTCTGTTGAGTCTTTTAATCCTGAGGGCACATTGTTTCACTTGATGAAACATAAAAACCCATATTATAGCACAACATAGAAACCCATAATTATACTTATGCAGAAAGCACACCTGACCTTTATATGGTTTTGAAAATAA